TGTGGCATCACAGCTCACAGCAACCTCAACTCCTGGGTTCAAGTGATTCTCCTGCCTCTGCCTCCCAAGTAGCTGGGACTACAGGCGCCTGCCACAAAACACCCGGCTATTTTTTGGTTTCAGCCATCATTGTTGTTTGGAGGGCCCAAGCTGGATTCAAACCCGCCAGTTCAGGGATATGTAGCTGGTGCCTTAGCCACTTGAGCCACAGGCGCTGAGCCTAGTTTTCATTTTTTTTTTTTTTTTGCTGGCCTGGGCCGGGTTCAAACCCGCCAGCCTCAGTGTGTATGACTGGCACCCTACCTACTGAGCTGTGGGCGCCACCCAACATTTTTTATGTATGAGGAGAAAAGTCTGGAAAGATTTTCCCCAAAACTGTCCTTCTGGAACTGGAAGAAAAGAAGTGGGACTTTTAGTAGTGTACAGCTTGAGATGTGTTTTTTATTTTTTTATGTTTTTGAGATAGAGTCTCGTTGTCACCCTGGGTCGCATGCCATGGTATCATCACAGTTCACAACAGCGTCAACCTCTTGGGCTCAGGCAATCCTCCTCCCTCAGCCTCCCGAGTAGCTGGGACTGTAAGTGCCATTCCACCCAGCCCAGTTAGAGGTTTTTATCATGAGACTCTGTTAATTTCATGATTTAAAAATGTTTTATTGGCCCAGTGCCCGTAGCTCAGCAGTTAGGGTGCCAGGCACATGCACCAGGGGTGGTGGGTTCAAACCCATCCTGAGCCCGCTAAACAAACTAACAAAAAAAAATCTGGGCACTGTGGTGGGTACCCATAGTCCCAGCTACAAGGGAGGCTGAGGCAAGAGAACTGCTTGAGGGCGGCACCTGTAGCTAAAAGGATTAGGGCGCCAGCCTCATACACCAGAGGTGGCGGATTCAAACTCAGCCCCGGCCAAAAACTGCAAAAAAAAAAAGAGAGAAAGAATTGCTTGAGCCCAAGAGTTTGAGGTGGCTGTGAGTTGTGATGCCACAGCATTCTACCGGGGGCAACATAGTGAGACTCTATCTCAAAAAATAATAATAAAATAAAAAATAAAAATGCTGGATGGTGCCTATGGCTCAGTGGGCAGGGCACTGGCCCCATATACCAAGGGTGTTGGGTTCAAACCCAGCCCTAGCCAAACTGAAGCAAAAAAATAGCCAGGTGTTGTGGTGGGCGCCTGTAGTCCCAGCTACTCAGGAGGCTGAGGCAAGAGAATCGCCTAAGCCCAGGAGTTGGAGGTTGCTGTGAGCTGTGTGATGCCATGGACTCCACCGAAGGCAATAAAGACTCTATCTCTACAAAAGAAAAATAATAATAAATAAGTAACAATGCTTTATTTTTTTTTTTTTTAATAAAGTAAGCCAGCATTCCTTATGAGGGGTGGAGGACCTGGAGCCTGGTTCTCTCCTTTTTTTTAGAGATAGTCTCATTTCGTTGCCCTCGGTAGAGTGCTATGGTCACAGCTCACAGCAACCTCCAGCTCCTGGGCTTAGGTGATTCTCTTGCCTCAGCCTCCCGAGTAGTTGCTCTCCTTTTTTTTTTTTGAGACAGAGCCTTAAGCTATCCCCCTGGATAGGGTGCTGTGGCATCACAGCTCACAGCAGCCTCCAACTCCTGGGCTCAAGTGAGACTCCTGCCTCAGCCTCTCAAGTAGCTGGGACCACAACACCCGGCTATTTTTTGGTTTCAGCTGTCATCGTTGTTTTGGCAGGTCCGGGTCAGATTCAAACCCGCCACCTTAGGTGTATGTGGCTGGCACCTTAGCCACCTGAGCCACAAGCGCCAAGCTTCTCTTTCTTTTTTGATTAAGGAATTTGCATTGCATTCAGGGAATGTGTCCACTGAGGGGTGGGTGTACCTGTCACCAGGTGGGGCTGGAGCTTTTCACCCCTCTCCACGATCCTTTGTATTCTTGTATTGCGGCTGTACTTAGCTCTTCAAAACAAAAAGATGACTCTAGCTAAAGCAGGGATGTCCAGTCTTGTTCTGCACATTGTAAGAATACAAGTTGTCCTAAGCCACACAGTAAATACACAAACACTAACAAAAGCTAGTGAGCAGAAGAAAAGATCCGTGATGTCTGACACCACAAACAAGCAAAGCAGACCTCACGCAGTCTGTGTGTGGCCGAGGGCTGCAGATCGGGCTCCACTGAGCTGGGGTTGGGCCTGTCTTTCTGTCTTGAGCCTCCCACCCCGGACCCTGGAGGTGGTCAGAGGAGGACCACAGGGTCTGGCAGGCATCCTCTTGTCCATGTGTGAGGGGAAAGTGTAGGAAGATGATTATGGTGTCTGGGGTCTCCGCATAGCCTTTGCTGATCCTGACTGCTGCATGCATGCAGCTGGCTCCCACACTCATGGGCTGTTCCCACCGCAAACCTTCTGTGACTTCCTTGTGAACTCAGACACATGTGTCAGGAGTGTTCGGGGTCCTCTAGGGGGTGCCCTCTTTCTGCTCGTTGCCTCTAACATCCAACTTGGAGTCAGTGCTGGCTCCACTGTGCTGTGGTGGCTAGGGGCAGGGGCTGCAGGTATCCTGGTATGACTCAGGGTGCTAGATTCCTCACCCATTGCCTTCCCACACACTGAGGGGACATCTGCATTGGGACATCATAAGATCCGCCTAGGGAGCAGCCTTCTGCTGTGGTGGGTTTCATTTTGCTGCTTGTTCACTGGGCTCACTTGAGAGCCAAGGGAAGGACTGTGTGTCCTCTGCTCAGCATCACTGTCCATCTTGGACATGAGCAGCTGCCTCACTGAAAAGCCCTAGATGGTCTCTGAACTGATGCTGTCTGTCCCCAGGTACACATTCTCCACCCCCCATTGGTTCCAGACAAGTATCGCTCTCTCCTTACTGACTATGTCTCACTGGCCAAGACACGCCTGGCTGATCTCAAGGCAAGTCTGGTTTTGTCTGTGTCTGCTCCCTGGACCTGTCCTGGTGGATAGCACTGTCCTTGTCCTCACATTCTTGTTCTGTTTTGTCTCTGAAGGTTTCTGTAGAAAACATGGGACTCTATGAGGACTTGTCATCAGCTGGGGATGTCCCAGAGGTAATGTCGTCTCAGGCTACTTCAGGGTCTCAGCTGCCCAGCGCTGAGCAGGTGCAGGCCCTCCCTTCACCCTAAGGGGCCTTCATGGTCCCATGCCTCATGTCCTTTGCCCCGGTCAGGGAGAGGTCCTGAGGTGTTTTGCTCTGAGATATCCCACGTGCACCTGCTGTTCTGGGTTCTGTAGGGTGGAGCTGGTCTATGCTGTTCCCTAGGAATTAAAGAAAAGCGTTAACTTTATGTCAGCCCAGCATCAGATGGCCATAAGAAAAAACAACTTTTTTTTTTTTTTAGAGATAGAGTCTCACTTCATTGCCCTTGGTAGAGCGGTGTCACAGCTCACAGCAACCTCCATCTCCTGGGCTTAGGCAATTCTCTTGCCTTAGCCTCCTGAGTAGCTGGGACTATAGGCGCCTAGCTATTTTTTTGTTGCACTTTGGCTGGGGCCAGGTTTGAACCTGCCACCCTTGGTATATGGGGCTGGCACCTAACCCACTGAGCCACAGGCGCTGCCTACCTTTTCTTTTTTTTTTAAGAGACAGAGTCTCACTTTATTGCCCTCGGTGAGTGCCATGGTGTCACACAGCTCACAGCAACCTCCACCTCCTGGTCTTAGGCAATTCTCTTGCTTCAGCTTCCTGAGTAGCTACTTCTTACCACCTGGAAATCTTTGTTCTTTTTAACGTTTTATTTATTTAGTTAGTTAGTTACACTTTTTGGCCGGGCCTGGGTTTGAACCTGCCACCTCTGGTATATGGGGCCGGTGCCCTACTCCTTGAGCCACAGGTGTCACCCACCACCTGTAAATCTTTTTTGGAATTTTTTTTTTTTTTTTTGGACACAGAGCCTCAAGCTGTCCCTCTGGGTAGAGTGCCGTGGCATCACAGCTCACAGCAACCTCCAACTCCTGGGCTTAAGTGAGTCTCCTGCCTGTGCCTCCCAAGTAGCTGGGACGACAGGC